ATGGATGTTTGGATGGATGGATGTTTGGATGAATGCATGGATGCATGGATGGATGTTTGAATGGATGGATTGATGTTTGGATGGATGGATGGATGTTTGGATGGATGGATGGATGCATGGATGGATTTTTGGATGCATGGATGGATTGATGTTTGGATTGGATGTGTAATGAGCCTGCTGTGTTTCCAGGTCAGTCTGGAGGCTGTTCAGAGGGAGCTGTCCTCCCTGCAGGAGCTCAGCTCTCATCATAAGAGGAGGTCAGCGGAGATCGTCAGTTTGCTGCTCAGAGACCTCAGTGAGATCGGCAGTGTTCTCGGAACCACCGAGCTCAAAGCTGTGAGCCTCAAGCTAGTTCTTCTTCTCATCTACTTCTACTTTTCATGTGTCTGAAAACAAACTCTGATTCTGTCTCTTCAGATGACTGAAGTGAGTGGAGTGATGGAGGAAGAGTTCACCTCTGCCCGACTCTACATCAGTAAGATGAAGTCTGAAGTCAAATCTCTGGTGAACCGCAGCAAACAGTTGGAGGTCAACCTGACAGAAAACACCTGTAAGATGAAGGCGAACGAGAAGGAGCTGAGCACGTGCCAGCTGCTCGTGTCGCAGGTGAGACAAATACAAACTGAGACAGAGACACACACATACACACACGCACAGCCTGTCTGAACAGGTGTGATGATAAATTCACCTGTGCTGGTTGTTTGTGTGTCTGCTTGTGCAGCTCCGGGCAAAGCTGGGGTCTCTCACCGATGACCTCCAGAAGGTGGAGCAGAAGAAGAGGCAGCTGGAGGAGAGTCAGGATGCTCTGATGGAGGAGGTCGCCAAGCTCCGCGCACAAGGTAATACTGCCATGGTTACAGGAAACAGTAAACTCTGATTGGCTAACAGGTATTTTTAAAAATCCATCACAGGTGAACAGGTAGAAACAATAAGAGACTCTGTGTTTGCGTGTGAGCAGGTCAAATGCACGAGCTGACAGTGATGGACAAAGAGAAAGAACACATGAGCCAGCTGAAGGATGTTGTGGAGATGAAGGTAAACATGGCGTGATGTCACTGTGAGCAAAGTAACAATCAACAATCTGTCAAAGGTAAATCAGTGATAGAGGTGATGGAAATGTCGCTGTGTGTTCTATAGAGAACGCTGGAGGAACAGATGGAGAACCACCGGGAGGTTCATCACAAACAGCTGAGTCGACTCCGAGATGAGATCGATCAGAAACACAGAGACGTCGACCGACTCAAAGAGTGAGTTATTGATTATTATTGATTGATTATTGATATTACTGAGTGATTGAGCTGCTCTCAGACTCTTTTCAGCTGTTCTGGGTTCAGTCACATCGTTCATTTTAAAGAGATTTGTTATTGGTCAGATTTTTGTTTCAAGCATGTGTTTTGTCAGAGTGTCGAGCCGGCTGTTTCCAGCTTCTTTGTTTCTTTCAGCGTGAATCAGGCTCTGCAGCTGGAAAACAGGAAGCTTCAGTCTGACTTGGACAAACTGAGAGCAGAGGATCAGAACAAAGACCAGAAGCTTCAAAAGCTCATGTACGTTTGTCCCTCTGTTCTTGCAGTTGCCTCAAACATTGTGATTGAGGTTTTAGCGCCATCAGACATGGTTGTGTCCACATTCAGTTCACGATATAATCTGTGACGTCTAAGTGTGTCAGACAGAAACCATATATTTATTTATCATGTTATTTTTCTCATTTAAACTCCTGCGGTGCTCATATGACATCATTGTATCATGTCGCCTCCTTCTGCTTCCACCTACCGTTTCTCTGACCAATCAGTGAACTCACATTAACAGGCAGTGGGTGTAAACGGAGTTCATCTCTGTCATGCTAAACTCTGCTTGTGTCTTCAGGTTTGTGAACGAGAAGAGAGAACAAGCCAAAGAAGACCTGAAGGGTTTGGAGGAGACGGTGGTATGAGATTATATTTTCACTGGCATAGATGCTCTGGGTCCAGAAGTGCTTCTGTGCAGCACCACAGTGGGTGTTACATCAATCTATGACTGAAGTGCAGATTTTCAATTCAACTAAAATTTTATATGAACTGTTGAAATGTGTGCTCAATCATCCAGGTAAGGAAATCCATAAAAGTTGGTTCTGTTTATCTTCTGTTTATGCATTATTGTAGGTCTACATTACAAGATAAAGCGCCTTGAGGCGACTGTTGTTATGATTTGGCGCTGTATAAAGGATTACTCCTGAAAGTCTGCAAATAAGCTCTTCAGTTAAGGGCCTCCAATTCAATTTTTCAATTTAATTTCGTCATCAGGATGCTACAACACAGAGCGAACACCATCCCCACAGACACAGCGGCCAGGGAGGCAGAAGAACATCAAGAAGGCCCTGAGTAAATGTGGTTATTCCAGCTGGACTTTTATCAAAGCTGGAAAGGCTCCTAAAGAAAGCTCCAGCTGATCCAGGAGAGAAGGACAACTGCTGCCTAACAGAAAACCTATCGTACGTGTCAGGAGTATCAGTACAGTTGAGGCGCATTTTTCCTAAACACCGGTTCTCTGGGGCTTTCAAACCCTAAAACATGTTGCACCAGAAATTGGTCCACCCCAAGGATCGAGTCCCCCGACACAAACAGAGTAACATAGTGTACGCTGTTAAGTGCAGGAGGATTGGCAGGATTTATAAATCGGGGAAACCAAACAACCTCTAGCTAAGAGGATGGCACAACATAGAAGAGCTACCTCGTCAGGCCAGGACTCTGCAGTCTATTTACGCAGATTAGTGACTACAAAGCCCCCTCCCTGATGATAAGACATTTCGACCGCTCTCTACCAGATAAACTGAACAACTTCTATGCACAGTTTAAGGTTAACAAAAGGCACAGATACTTCCGCTGCCAGAGGGCAACTGGCAGTAAGACCAGACAACATTCCTGGGCATCTTTCACAGAACTGTGCAGAGAAATTTAAACATCTTCAACACATCACTCAGGCAGGCAATTGTGCCAGTTTGCCTCAAGACCACCATCATCATCTCCAAAAGTTGATTCTGTTCATCTGGACAT